ATCTGAAGCTCCTCCCCTCAACATGGCCAATCCATTGAGCTGTCCATTTATGGAAGTACTGCTAGCTTTGTTGCTGCTTTCCAGTTCTGACTTCTCATTCACCATAGAATTGAATTGTCCCCTGCACTCCACAATTGCCTAGAGCTTTCCCAATGTACAGATCTTGATCTGCAAGGCCCATTGTCTGTATTTCTTTCAGTGTAATGTCCACAGCTACATGTAGCCTCTTTAATATATGAAATATTGCATAGGTGAGTCATAAGCTTCATAAGTGTTTGACAAGTCCACCTGATCATTCCCAGGTTCAAGTACCAGACAGGGTCATCTTTAAAGGGGCAGTGTAAGCCATGATTTTTTAAAATTTAATTTTTAAAACATCATGGCTTGCAATTTGTACAATTAATTATTAACTGTACAAATTGTTGTTTTCCTTAAATTTTTGTAGGACAATTGATCAGTCATCCAAATTCTCCTTTGGGAGGGGCTGCAGTTACTGCTAAGAAACAGCAATAAATAATTTGTTGACTTTTGGAAATTATGAAAGATCTTGGAAGTCACGGGCCAAGTTTTGGAACAAAATTGCCAAGAGTTTTCCCCTTTGTGAATGGGTGAAGGGAGGAGTCGTTGGATTCTTTTCACATTAAAAAACTTCACAAGTGGTAAGACATCCATGCCATCTTCCATTTCTTTTTACCTTCTGAGAACCCAGAAACAGTCAAGAAGGGAGCAGTTTCTGAGAGCTGGATTTCCCCAGAATGTTATTGTCATCTTTGCAGAGTAATACATGTTAATTTGCTTTTTGGTTGAAATATTGCACCGATAAAAGTTAGTGTCGTGAGTGTGAAAGGGAGGTTCTTGGAATACTTTGCCCCTCCTCTTTTTGGATGTGATTCTTAATTTCTTCATGAACTCCTTTTCCCTAATCCCAACCTGGTCTGAGGGCCTTATTACATGTATGTGCACAATAATAGTACCTCGTGGAATGTTTTCATTGCAGGTTAATTTATAATCTCATGTAAACAAATATAAACCTACTCAGTAACAGTCAGGTGTGCTGTAATTGGTTTCCAATAATAATCACCTTTGACCTGCATAGGTGAAATAAGTGAAATGTGCATTTGTCAATTCCTCTGACACGGCGTATTCATCTACCTACATACAAGTACATGTACGAGTAGATGCCATTTCTTTCCTGTAGAAGGTTTTGTTCTTTTAATTATTCAAACTTTGTAGAGGGAAACTATTAATTAACACCCTTTTTTTTCCCCTTCTCTTTGTCTACAGATAATACCCCCCTCCCATTTGGGGTCCAATTCCATCCATTGTATTTTTTCTTTGATTTCTTCCCACCTTACATTCCTTTGTTGTTCAACATGCCTTTCATGCAGTCCCCTTTATCCAGCCTGCAGCTTTCTTGACCTTTCTTGACCTGTCCTCTTGCATTCATCCATGCTTGGTGGATTCTCTGTTTGCTTGTTTGTCCTGTCCACGTGTCATTTTGCCTTTGAGAAAGATTCTGCTAGGATGGAAACGTCAGGCCCTCCATATTTTGAGATCTGTATTTAGGTCATTGCAGTCAGCAAGCAGTTTGCAGCAGTTTTGTATTAGATATTTTTTATTCAACATTTGTGTAAAAAGTTAATTTGTGGTTATACGTTTTGTGGATACTTATTGTTTATTGTTATTAATGGCAAGTAGCATTATTTGGGTATTCACTTTGTGAAAATGTTAACAGAGATTCTGATGACCAACTGACTTGCGACTTTTCTAAACTCTCTTTTACACTGCACTTGAGCGTACCGTACTTCAGGAGACGGAACTGTGTCATAAATTATACCGATATTTCCTTGTTCCTGTAACAACATTACATACCACAGGCCTCTCCAACATCCAAATTGTGGGGTGTGTAATCTGCATTCTGTCATGATCACCTCGTTCACTTTGCTCATAGTGGCTTTAACCTCAATACCTTGGATTCGCATGATCTTTCTCTCCTGGTACTTTGTAGATAACAAGTATACTTAGACAGACTATGCTAGCAACAGCATCCCTCCCGCGCTACAGCTTAACATGTGTGCACACTTACCAGGCCCATGCCTGGCATATCTTTATCTTAATTTCAGCCAAAGTTCACTTGAATCCAAATGTGTACTCCACACAGCCAATAGCCTTTGGCATGCTGATACCAGGGACAATCAGTGTGTTGAGGTGCTTTATTCTGGCAAGTGGTGATTATCTGGAAAGTTCACTGATAGAGAAACAAATGTGTACCTAGTAATAGCCAAATTTATCAATGAGTAAACGTTAATTGCCCCGTTTGGTTACCCAAGAAGTGCATCAGTGTGCAATTTGGGCTCTCGAGGAATAACCTTTCATTTTCCACAGGTTATAAAAAATTACATTTAAAACTGGGCTTACTTTCAATGTTTCCAGTCTGTGGGGATATAACTGGGTTTCCATTCCGCATGTGAGAATTACATTTTCAATTAAATTTTTACGTTCACAAAAAAATGTACTGGAGGCAGAAACTGGATCAACACCTATTGGTTGGGAGCCTTTCACTTGGGGGGTCTTCAATAGTTGATAAAACACCTGTTGGCTGATCTTAAAACACTTGTCTGGAGTCCTGTGAAACTTAGACTCCCATGAAATCTGGCCCCTTGTTGTATTGGTTGACCATTCATAGTGTTCACTTCTGTTTGCGCAATACTACCAACGAATCTGCATTATGAGAGTCCTACATACATGCGTTCCACCATGCATTTACACTACACTCATGACACTGGCTTGTCACATTTTGCACCCCCACCCCCTCACACAGTATCTTACACATCTCCATATAAGGATAGGACTACTCACGAGATAAGGATAGGACTACTCACGAGATAAGGATAGGACTACTCACGAGATAAGGATAGGACTACTCACGAGATAAGGATAGGACTACTCACGAGATAAGGATAGGACTACTCACGAGATAAGGATAGGACTACTCACG